AAAACCTGAAAGAAAAACAACTACACTAGATCCTCAAGAGATTTAGTTAATACTCATTCTCTTTATTATTCAGTAGCACGAAGGGAGTCGTACTGGCATCCACTTTTAGGGTAGGTGCCGTACCAACGGACCAATCTTCCTCAACCTGAGGCTTGGCCCTGTTCTGCAAAGGCTGACTGGACGGCTAGCCTGCACAATCGCCGATTGAAAAAGCTAAATATGTGGTGGACGAGCAGAATCGTTCTGGTGTAATGTGCTCCGTTTTGCTTTGTATCACGGCGGCGCCTACGCGGGGGTTAGCCGAGAAGTTTACACTGGCTTTACGAGACTTCGGGGCCCCTCCCTCAATCGCGTCTTCCGATGCGATCGCTGATCTGACATATGCTTGGCATCGTGGCTGGCTGGAGCTACGCTGCGCATTTAGCTCTCCTCTGGCTCTTTCTTTCCTCAATTTACCCTCCTCTCAGCCTTATGTTGCCTCTGTGATATTTCTTAGTAGTTATGCTTTAATAACAATTTTACTTGCAGCTGCCGATCATGTCCGAAGAGGAGGAAGTGTAGTGAGTACTTTCTGTTTAGCCTCTATGAATAACTAGTTGTAGATGTGATTCAGTGTTACACGATTTCATAATATCCTTATCCTTTACAGCACTGAAGAGGAGGAGGAGGAGGAGTACGAAGATGAGGCCGAGGCCGCCGCAGAAGAAGAACCGTGAGTTTCAGTAAATCACGGACCAAATTTTAAGAAAAATCTATTCAAATTTCAGAGCTGAAGAGGCATCTAAAGCAGAGGAGGCGCCGGTTGAGGAGAAGTAGGTGCTTGTGATCTTAGGAGGGCTCATTAGAAAAAGGATATGCCGTCAATTCATTTTTTTTGTGGACAGCTCTAATATTTTCAGGCCAAAACCTCGTGCTCCACCACCACAGGAAGAGAAACCTGTAGCGGAAATGACGGAGGCTGAAGCTGCTATGCTGGTGAGGTTTTTGAGTCATTATAGGCGATAACCCGTGACCCTTGTGCAATCTTTTTTGAAGAACCCTTTCAAATAGGTCCTTTAGAATTCATCTAAGTAAGCCAGGAACTGCTTCGAAATTTAAGGCTGGGTCACTTTGCCTATGTCTAGATATTTCGCAACTCAAACTTGTACCTCCATATCTCGGAGATGGGGAAGGCGTGGCGCATATACTTCACTTGGGCAAGGCGCTGGCTGCGCTTTGTAAGATATGTTTATGCTGTTTAAGAAAATTGTAGTCATGTCTTCGCTTAGCAGAAATAGGATGACAGTCGTCTCGAACGGAATTAACTCACAAGAAAGGTAACTTGCCCCATGTTCACGAGAAGCACATTGCCACGCCCTTTTCATCGCTGGGATATGGAGTACCCTATGTTTGGCTCTCCAATTGATTGGTAGGGCTCCAGCTTTGCTTTGGTTCTATGTTCTAGTTCTTCTTAGATCAACCTTACGGAATGAAAGCGAGCCAAGCAAGTCCAGCCATTCATACAAAATTGCCATCAAAATCCCTTGTATTGGACAGTACTTACAGGCGGCGAAGAAACGTCATGAAGAAGAGGAAGCGCTCAAGATGCTTGACTACGAGCAGCGTCGTATTGCTGAGAAGGAAAAGATGGAGCAGGAGCTCCGTGAACTTAAAGAGAAGCAGGAGAGACGTCGTGCAGAACGTGAAGAAGACGAGCGCCAGTTCGCTGAACGCCGTCGTCAGGATGAAGAGCGCAGACGTAAGGAAGAGGTAGGTGACCTCTCGACTGATTGCTTATCAGTAGAGTTTTGGGTGTTACTTACTGTTTGATGGGCTACTGGAGTGATGACAATACATAGTGATGCAGCCTTATAGATACCGGTTTCCCAATACTATTGTTGAATTGCAGGAAGAGCGCAAGGCTAAATCTGATGCGGAAAAGAATCGCAAGAATGACGAGAGACTGCGTCGTCAGCAAATGATGGCTGGCTCATTCGCTGGTCACCATGCTCTGCCAGGAACCGGCAAAAACTTCACCGTCGAAAGAAGCGATAAGGCAGCTCAGTTTGGTAACCTTGCTCAGGTAAGTGTATAATGACGTACTACTAGCCTATTTACACAAGGCTTTGGGGGCCTGTCTGCTGTCCGGACATATTTACTCATAAAAATACCTTTAGGTAAAGAAGAAGGACGGTCTTAGCAAGGAACAGGTGGAAGAAGCCAAACGCGCATTTATCGCTAGTGTTTGCCGTGCTGTGGATATCTCCGCACTGCTACCTAACGACCTGAAGGCTCGAATTAAAGCCCTGCACGAAAGAATCGCCAAGCTCGAAAGTGACAAGTACGATTTGGAAAAGCGCCAGGAACGCCAGGAGTACGACGTATGTGAATAGTGAATGGAAATCGGTTTCACAACTTGAAAATGAATTCCAGTTTGAAATCAGGATTTTATGCGATACGTTTAGATGAAAGAATTGCACGAACGTCAGCGACAAGCAGCTCGCAACAAGGCCCTTCAGAAGGGACTCGATCCTGAAGAAGCTGCCTCATCTCAACACCCACCAAAGGTCACCACCGCCTCGAAATTCGATCGCCAAATCGACAGACGGTGAGGGTTGTTTTTATCTACAAGACATCTAAAAGTTCTACAATGCTTAATTTTTGATTTTCTACTTTCCTAAATTGAAAGATAGAAGCTGTAGATCATACGTCGATCGCCGCATTATGTTCGAGAAGCCGGTTGTACCGAAGCCACCAACCATCGCCCGTGGAACTGCCCGCCCACCAAGCGATTGGGGACGCAAGGAAAACGAGGAGCTGGAACAACTCCGGTATGTTGAGTCGCTCCGAAGTTACAGCACTACTTACTGAACCGCTCATTTTGCAAATTTCTAGCAAAAACCTTGAGCCGCCAAAATACGTGGAACAGGTTAAGGCTGAAGGTGAAGCTGCTCGTCCACCAGTAGCCCCAATTCCATTGCAGTTGCCCGAAAAGGACTTCGAAGATGAGGAGCCAGCACCGGTGAGTGAATTTGAAATTGAAATTGAAATTAGATTACGTGGAAGTGATAATGGCATTCTTATCTTCATGAGTTTTTTTTCAGGCTGAGGAGCCTGCTGCAGCTGGTGAAGAAGTTGAAGTAGCCTGAACACCAGCGAGACTGACAATAATTTTGTAAACACAATGCAGTACATTCATATAAATGTTATGCAGCTTATACTGTTCTTTCTACTAAGTCTTGCACCCTATTGAAGGCTCTCTATAAAAATTGATGCAGAGGCAAGAGAAACGAGAATGTACGGAGAGAATAGTTATTCCTAACTTGTGGCTTGATCGATAGAATCAGTCGATTCTACAAGCTTCCTAACCTAAGAGTCCCTTAGAGAAAACGTGTACAACCGGGTGGGCAAGGGGAGTGTCCGCGGACTGAGTTATAGGCGCATTTTGATCTCTTATGCATTTGAAAAGAAGGCCATGTCGAATAGGGGAAGGAGGGGTAGTTTCCATGGACTGGCTTATGAGCGCTGAGGTTGCCAGAGGTACGGTCTTAGGCACTCAATCTTGTTTGCTGGAGATAATGGGCGTCAGGGGGCTGGGATTGGAGCGCGTCAGCCCGTTTTTCATCCATTGTTCTCTTTTGCTTGTTTCCCATAGTAAGCGGGGAACGGGCTGGGGCCACCCAAACCCAGTCCCTCTAACACACCCCACTATCCGCAGTAGGACTGTAATTGAAGAAAGCATGTGAAGGGGTGCAAATTGTGCAATAAAATTTAGATACACTTTTTAGCCTCACCCACTTTTTCTGCATGGGCAACTGCCTACACCGCCGCGTTTCCAGTCACGTCCGTGGGAGTTACTCTTCCAGTCGACTGCAATTTTAGTGGAATTTTCTTCTATAAGTGGGCAGTCTGCCGTGCTTTGAACCTAGGGGCACGGTTTGCGATATTGGGCTATGGGCCAAGCATTTATAAGTGCATAACCAAAAAAAATGCGCATGAGCCCAACGTACTTAGCTGATTCCTATAAACGTCCTATGACCCCATAAGCGACAGGGTGGCATCCACCTCATGCTTCCCTTCCGATAGCTTCGTTTTTGTGGATTGAAACGGCGAAGTGGGGGCGGGTACACCGCAAACGGGGAGTTGTCACTCGAGTAACTTGGAGCTTTAGCGTCATTACCTTACAGGGCTGTTGGTGGTGAGCCACGCTACACATCCTACGCATCCCTTGCATTTTCCTAGGTAAACGAGACCTGTTCCTCAAACCCGTCATGTAGCCGTTTGAGATATTCATGAGATGGAAAATTCAATGAAAACGTATGGTAATACTTGAAACCTCAGCAATCTTTTTTCCACTTCTGTACATCCACAGGTCGCATTTTAGAATCTACCCACGTGAGCCGTGAAGGGGAGATTTAGTAGGACGAGTAATAGAGGATAGCAATCGGCTCAACGTTAGTAATGGTACACTGATCTCCAGAAGACATTGTGTTTGCTTCCTGTATCTGCTTAAAAATTATATTAACACTTTTATCATCATTCAACGCAGGCAAACTTGATACCACAAGTTGGTGTGGACACAAGTGGAAGAAACAACAAAAGCAAAAGTGCTGCTCATAATCAACTATGGTTTAGATCAGGCAGCAAATTGATCGCAGTACTTGAATAGAGCAGCGACGCTCACAGCATTTCCGTTCAATGAGGCGTTCTCGTTCCTCCGGTTCAAGTGGTGGCTCAAGTTCTGGAAGAGGTCTTGTTGTGGTTCACTTGTGAAAAAAAGATTTTTTTTCTCTGTCAAAAAGAGATATGGAAAGATCACAGACTGACTGGAACAGTAATCGTTGGATTAAACAAATAAGATTCAGCAGGCTACAGGATCTCAGCAAAGTGAAAAGAATGAACAACTCATGCACCGATAGCCAACGGCTCAGAGCCTCTGCATGGCGGCAGAGCTGGCTCTCAAGGGCATTCAGTGAAACGATTGCCATCTATGATTTAGGAGCACACTCCGCGTGCTTAGCACTTTGTCCACTTCCCTAGCCAAGAAGGTAACCTGGGTCTACAACGGCCAACGTAATGCTCTTTTCGCAGCTCGAAAGTGTGCAGGGAAAGGGCTGCAAGCTCCCGATCTGGGGGGCCCATGAGGCCCATTCTCCGACCCCCCCCGCCCAAAATCGGCCGATGTCCTCATGATGATGTCGCTGGACTCTATTGCTCGGCGTTTTCTGTCCTCTCTTCCATGCATCTAGTGTACCACCTTGTTTCGCGTCCTGCATTGAAACTTAGGCCGTCTCCTGCTCCGAGGCCCCGAATGATCGCGATCAACTAGTATTCTATCGAAAACTTTTAGATTCTGTACTTACTCGTAACTTGTCGACATGTAGCTAAAATCAACACTTTTTCAGCCGCGCTGCAGGCAGGGCGCAGCGTGAGGATGTGTGAAATGGTAGTGTCAGTACAACTTACCCGGAATCCTTACTCTGGCACGACCCTTTCTCCATCTTGCCTACCACCCTCTCAAATTCTGCCAGCTCCCACCAAACTTTTCCCCTGAACACTGGCGTCGGCTGGGGAGGTGGGGTGGGAGGGGTGAGATAGCCATCAGTTACTCTCTATAATCAACTATCGAACAAAGTTAGCATCCAGTAAAAAATATGATCACTCTAAGCGAACTCCTCTCAGAGCCAGATGAGATCATCTCAGCTAAACATATCGCCCCTTCCCTTACTTGCCCCCCCCCATCTAACGACTAGAGTTCGACCCTGGTGGGATTCTCCCGACGATTCATCAGATATCCAAGCGTAAGCGACTGGGTACACTCCTTATCCCTCAGCCAGAGTAGGCGTGGCATTATAACATGGCACGGAAGTGGTTACTCGTGGAATATTAATGTCTGCGACAACTGTCATCTTGTTCGGTGTTGAGCTCAGACACGATAACAATTGTATCAAGGTGAAAATATCTCATCAGAAGCATAGACACCTCCACGTTAAGTTGAAACATGCGGCCACGCCTAACCGATCTCAGGGATCTCGAGTATAAAAGCACCAGGTGAAGCCGGAATTCTAAACCAGAGGAAAGTGACTCGGTCAATAACAAGAGCGCTTGGGCAAGTAGAGCATAAAAATAGTGCCACAAGAAAGTTCTCTTACCATACTGTTGTCGAATCTCTTCACAAGTTTCCTTACTCACTGAACGACATTGAAATGTCATGGCAATGTTGAACTGTCGGAACAGCATCGTCGTACCCTCGACTTTGTCATCTATAACAGAAGTAGGTTTCAGAATTTTCAGGGATCCTGGATCCTTTGATTCTCCAGAGATCAGCACATTTATTAACAACCGCCCACTCATTGTTCAACACTGCAGCACGTGAAGGGGCCAGTTGCCACTACGGATGTAACATCTGGACTGCGTAAACTTTACAGCAACCTTCATGAGGTTCCGTGCAGAGTATAGTATGAAGGCCAGATGTTCGGCTGAGTGAACAGTTTGTGGGGCTGATCTTTGGGGGGCGACTTCGCTAATAAGTAA